CTCTCTCTCTCTCTCTCTCTCTCTCTCTCTCTCTCTAAGATTGCAAAACTCATAAGTAATGAAAATATTATTTTGTCTTAACACTGATTATACACTTTTTTAATATAAAAACCAAATAAAATAAAAACAACAAAAAACAATAACTTATAAATAGAGGCAACACTTTTTACGCAAACCATTTGTTAGTTATTTTATATTAATATCAGTATTTTAGTTTTATCTATTTAACTTAATTTATTTATTTTTAAACGTTGTGTATTTATTTGATTTAGTTAATTTTAACAATTTTATTTTGTTTTTAAATCTTTATTTTAAACTAATTTATATAAATATAATAATAATTAATGGCCCGTCGATTATCATTTGATTTAACTAGAAACTATAGAAATGGTGATGTTGAACTAAATTCACCATCCACACCCGACACACCATCACCACTATTGACCAAGCAGCATAATAATAATAAATGGCGTTTAAAGTGGCCGGACTTTTGTTGTTGTAGCAAGGACAAAAATGTAAATTAAAACATTTTATATTTATTAATTACAATCATTGATTATAAAATGCTATAATTTATATTGTGCGATTTTGTAAATTTTATACATTAATATTAATTTAATTTTTTGAACAAAATGTATTAATATTAATCTCTTAATTTTTTTTTTAAAAATAATTATTATAAAATATTTACTGGTGCAATTTTTGAAACTAGATGTAAAGTTTACATTATTTTTAGTATAAACCTGGAAAATTTACCATGAGTTTAATAATTTTATTAAGTTTAATATATAAAAATTCCACTCAACCAGTATATACAATCCTGCTTGCAATATTATATTTACGTAATAATTTTAGTGTACATGACAATGACAATTAAAAATTAAATCAGCCAACTTGATATTAACCAGTCAAGATGATAATAAAAATAGTGAAAATTACATTAAAAATTTACAATAGAACATATGATACAAAATTTTTTTTTAATTTTTAAAAATTATACCTAGAACAATGATCCGAGCAAAAAGGAGATGGACCTATCTAAAGAGGTCACTATTCAAGAGCACATGTATACTTTTGAAAAGCTATGCTCAGAGCTGAAAACCGATCTAGATAATGGAGTGACCGATAGCGAGGCCAGCTATCGATACGCCCGGGACGGACCCAACGCGTTTACCCCACCTAAACAAACACCCTGGTTCATTTTGCTCGGTCGCGAAATGAGCACAGCGTTTGCCATTATCATCTGGATCGCATCGGCTATTAGTTTAATATGCTTTTTTGTTAGCGAACCCCGCAATATGCAATACGTATGTGGTTATTTTGTTATCATAATTTAACTAGATCTATTATATTTAGTTTACAATCGCCAATATAAAATAAGTAAAAGTTTATATATTTTTCAAGTAATAGTGTTTTAATTTAAAACTCTTCAACATTGTAAATGCACTTTTGGTTAATTAATAATTTCATTATAATTGTCACATATAGTATATTATAACCATAGCGTTAGCGTTGGTTGTAATAATCACGGGTCTGTACTCGTACTCGCAACAGGCCAGCAGTGCCGAGATATTCAAGTCGTTCAAAAGCATGGTACCTCAGGTACGTACACCAAAAACACATAAACACCATATTTGTATTTTGTTTAAATGCTAAAACTAACCTATTTCAATCGCAGGCAACAGTGGTAATCAGAGGGGGCAAGCGGATAGAGGTGCCCGCCGACCGGCTAGTGATCGGCGATCTGGTCTACTGTAAGGCCGGCGACCGAATACCGGCCGACATCCGTATCGTACGGTGCGAGTCGATGAAAGTGGACAACTCGTCCCTAACCGGGGAGTCTGACCCGTTGTCCCGGTCGCCAGACGTGGGCCACCAGAACCCCCTGGAGGCCAAAAATCTAGCCTTTTTCTCAACCAATTGCGTGGACGGCTCCGGCTATGGCATAGTGGTGGCCATCGGCGACAATACCGTGATGGGCAATATCGCCCGTCTGGTCACCGGCATTAAACAGGAGAAAACACCCATAGGCATTGAGATTAGCAGATTTACCACGATTATTACGGTTATGGCGTGCGTGGATGGGCTCATATTTTTCTGTATTTGCATGGGTTTTAATCTGGGTGCGGTCATATTAAACAGGAGAAAACACCCATAGGCATTGAGATTAGCAGATTTACCACGATTATTACGGTTATGGCGTGCGTGGATGGGCTCATATTTTTCTGTATTTGCATGGGTTTTAATCTGGGTGCGGTCAACGCCGTACTACTTACCATCGGCATTATTGTGGGCAATATTCCCGAAGGTAACTTATTTTTATTACATTATCAAATACAATAATTCATAAATAGTCAAAGTTCTTTATTGTATATCTGGGTGCGGTCAACGCCGTACTACTTACCATCGGCATTATTGTGGGCAATATTCCCGAAGGTAACTTATTTTTATTACATTATCAAATACAATAATTCATAAATAGTCAAAGTTCTTTATTGTAGTTATTTATATTGTACATTTATTTATTTGTCAACGTAAATTACTACTATTTTATAGACTAACAATCTTGCTCAATACAACAGGTCTGCTACCAGCGCTAACCGTAGCTCTAACACTCACAGCCAAGCGTATGGCATCAAAAAATTGCCTGGTCAAATACCTAGAGGCTGTCGAAACACTGGGCTCTACCTCGGTAATCTGCTCGGACAAAACAGGCACACTAACCCAAAACCGAATGACTGTCGAACACTGTTACCTGGGCGACCAGATTCTGCGCATATCGCACCAGCGGCAGGAATTGTCGGACATAGTGGGATCGCTCGACCAGTGTTGGTTACCCTACACGCGGTGCGCCCGTCTGTGCTCGCGGTCTGAGTTCATCGACGATAACCCCGATGTTATGAAACGGGCGGTGAGTGGCGACGCCTCAGAGACAGCCATATTGAGGTTCATGGAGTCCGTGACTGAACGCCCTGTGGCTGACTACCGGCAAACAATGCCCAAGGTGGCCGAGAAACCATTTAGCTCAACGTATAAGTACCAGTACTCAATACATGTTAACCCCGATGTGGACCCGGAGCTGAACAATAACTATGTCATCGCTATGAAGGGCGCGCCCGAGCGTATTATTAAACTGTGCTCCACTGTTGTTGGACCCGATGGTCACACTATACCGATGTCGGCCACCCATGTGTTGCACTTTGAAGAGGCCTATAGGGAGTTGGGCTCTATGGGTGAACGGGTGCTGGCGTTTTGCGATAGAGAACTGACCGAGTTTGCCAAAGGTCATAAGTTTGATTTGAGTGATGATACGACCATGGGCTTTGAGATTGGTGACATGCGCTTTTTGGGCTTGATTGCCCTTATTGATCCACCCAGGTTAGTTTGTGCTCTTTTATTATTTTAGTGGCAACATGGTTAAAATAGTATTTTTTTATTTATGAATATTTTAAATATAGAATAATTTTTATAATTATTTAGGAAGTTGGTACTTATTATTAATACAGTAGTAAGAGAATTTGTCATCAAGATAACCATTTATAATTAATTAAATGATGATAATAAATGCATAATTTCAAATTAAATAAACTGTACATAAAACTGGATAGACACAATTTATAAGTATTTGATTATGCATTATTATTAGATTGGAAAGAATGAATATCGACGTTATTAAATTATTATTTTACCTATTTTTTGTTAGTTTATTTGATCAGGGTTTTATATGTGGTTATTATACGAATCTTACTAATTATAAACGAATTTTTAAAATTTTTAAGATAACAACCAACAATCTACATTTTATAAGTTAACATTTTGCAATATTTTTAACCCTATAGTATATAAGCTGTACAATAAACATAACAAACATATTTTATAAAGTTATCCATATACATTAGTTATTAAATTGGCACAACCGAACAAACATTAGTTAATTATTATAATTTTTATCACCCAGAACAACAGTGCCTGGTGCGGTAGCCAAATGCCGTACCGCTGGTATCAAAGTGATCATGGTGACCGGCGACCACCCAATCACAGCTCAGGCCATCGCCAAACAAGTAGGCATATTCACAGAATCGCACCGGCGCTCGACGCGCATATCCCGACCGGGTATAGACCGTAGCAATCGGCCCAACTCGGCCTCCATTGTAGTGCCCGGCGACGAGTTGTCCAACATTTCAGACCAGGATTTGCGCCACATTTTGGCCGATTTCAAGGAGATTGTGTTCGCCCGCACATCACCGCAACAAAAGTTGCGCATAGTTGAAAATGTTCAGGCCCTTGGTCAAATTGTGGCAGTCACCGGTGATGGTGTTAATGATTCGCCCGCATTGAAAAAGGCTAATATTGGTGTCGCTATGGGTATTGCTGGTAAGTGTTGACCATGTTTAATTAGGTGTATATTTTAGATTGAATTTTAAATTCAGTTTTTCCAATTTTATACCAACAAACTAAGCAATATTTTATTTTATTTTCTATTAATACTTGCTATAAAATACGAAATTAAAATGTCCACTCAAAAATAAATTGTAGGGTATAATCATTGGCCCAATTGTAAAATACTTGTTTTTAATTATATATACCAGAATGTTTTAAAATGTTAAATTTACAGTTTGATTGAAATAATCCAAATAGCCTTAAAATACAATTAATATAATATTTAAATTTTAAAAATACAATTAAAAATTATTTAAGCCTTTAAGAAAGCGCTGAATAGAACCCGAAGTGAAATATTTTATTTTTTTATATTATAAGTAGTAAAACAAAGTATAATATTATAAATGTAAAGTACTTTATATTCTATATCATAAACAATTAATTAATTAAAATACGAGTTTTAATAGTAAATTATATCAAAGTAATAATTATAAAATAATTATAGAATAAAAAACACTTATTTAATTAACCAATATAAAAACACACAATTTAAAATAACATAAAACAAACTATGCATGATCACACAAACAGGGTCGGACGTATCCAAACAGGCGGCAGACATGATCCTATTGGACGACAACTTTGCCTCCATAGTGACCGCCGTAGAGGAGGGCCGACGCATATTTGACAACATGAAAAAGACCATCGGCTACATTCTAGCTGGCTCGGTCACCACGCTGTTCCCATTTCTCATCTTTCTCATTTTTGGATTCCCCCAGGCCATCGGGGTGATCACGGTGCTTTTGATCGCTCTGGGAACTGACCTCATGCCCGCCATATCCCTGGCCTACGAAAAGGCCGAGAATGATATCATGAGTCTAAAGCCCCGGAACCCACAACGCGACCGACTGGTCACTCAGAGTTTGATACTTAGGTCATACGTACAGTTGGGTTCAATAATGAGCTCGGCCGGTTTTCTCGGCTATTTCATACAGTTCTGGGATAATGGTTGGAATCCATTGTCGCTATGGCAACAACAAACTACATGGAACCAAGAGGATATTGTTTTAATTGACAGTAATGGCGACTCATGGGTGAGTGACTTTAATTTTTAAAATTAATTTGCATATTTAATAAAGGCTGTAAACATTAACTTAACGAGTTTATTGTTAAGATTACATACATTAATAAATAATTTNTTCTGTATTTGCATGGGTTTTAATCTGGGTGCGGTCAACGCCGTACTACTTACCATCGGCATTATTGTGGGCAATATTCCCGAAGGTAACTTATTTTTATTACATTATCAAATACAATAATTCATAAATAGTCAAAGTTCTTTATTGTATTAATTTATATTGTACATTTATTTATTTGTAAACGTAAATTACTACTATTTTATAGACTAACAATCTTGCTCAATCCAACAGGTCTGCTACCAGCGCTAACCGTAGCTCTAACACTCACCGCCAAACGTATGGCATCAAAAAACTGCCTGGTCAAATACCTAGAGGCTGTTGAAACACTGGGCTCTACCTCGGTGATCTGTTCGGACAAAACAGGCACACTAACCCAAAACCGAATGACCGTCGAGCACTGTTACCTAGGCGACCAGATTCTGCGCATATCGCACCAGCGGCAGGAATTGTCGGACATAGTGGGATCGCTCGACCAGTGTTGGTCACCCTACACGCGCTGCGCCCGTCTGTGCTCGCGGTCTGAGTTCATCGACGATAACCCCGATGTTATGAAACGGGCGGTGAGTGGCGACGCCTCAGAGACAGCCATATTGAGGTTCATGGAGTCCGTGACTGAACGCCCTG